TGAACGGTTTAAATTATTCATTATTATATATAAAAAAAAAAATTTTCGTATATTATATATAATTTTTATATATATTTTTGACAATTTTTGAGAATGGTTCGAAACGATTTAAATTATTCATTATTATATGTAAAAAAAAAATTTTCGTAAATTATATATAATTTTTATATATATTTTTGACAATTTTTGAGAATGGTTCGGAACGGTTTAAATTATTTATTATTACACGAAAAAAAAAACTTTCGTATATTATATATAATTTTTATATATATTTTTGACAATTTTTGAGAATGGTTCGAAACGGTTTAAATTATTTATTATTATACGTAAAAAAAAAAATGTATTACTAGTCTAGTTATGTAGTATATCTAGTCTAGTTACTAGTCTATCTATTTATATCCTCTATCCTCCAACCAATATCGTTGCGTGAAGAATCACTATTTCGAAAAAATGATCTCTCAACGAAGAGGCGGAGTGGTATCGCGTGTATTGTCGCCATGCATCGTATCGTAACAAAGGGGTTACATAAATCTATTTTCGATGAATTATCTTTTCTTTTTCGAAACGAATACGGCCATCGTAAAATTGAATAGGAAAAGATTGTGAAAAATAATTTTCGAGATTGTTTCCACGTATGACGATAATTCTACTTCGATATTACGCGCTATATTCAAAACAATATTCAATATTTGTCGATATAAGTTTGGATAAAGTAGAATAAATATAGATATTGTGAGAACGTGTGTATATATATATAAATATATATACATATATTTTTTGAAAAATGATACATTCGTTTGAATGATTCATCGGATTTTCATCTAATATTCGATGCTCTTTCAAGCAGGAAATCGAACCGTTCCGCCCGCGAATTCGATATTAATCTGAGAGAAATCGATATTTCAGAAACCATTTACCTGGGCGCAGATTTTCGAGCAGATTTTCTCTAAGAAATTTCCCAGGAAATTGAACATCTCGCCTACGCCATCCTCAAAATCTCAACCCTCTTAGATCAAATGCCGCGGAATCGGCAATTTTCAAACCGAACGAGGACGAGGTGTGACGCGCGATAGAGTTAAGCTCGTTAAGCTCTAGGTTGATATTTTCGATTTGAAAACTTTTTGAATAAAAAAAAAAAAAATGAAGAAAATAACTCTTGAGAGTTTTAAAATTTACCAAAAATAGTGATCGACAATGTTAAGCTCCAGGTTGATTGATATTTTCGATTTGAAAACTTTTCAAATAAGAAAAATAAAAAAATGAAGAATTTTGAGAATTTTAAAATTTACCAAAAGTAGTGATCGACAACATTAAGCTCCAAATTGATCGATATTTTCGATTTGAAAATTTTTCAAATAAAAAAAATAAAAAAATGAAGAATTTTGAGAATTTTAAAATTTACCAAAAATAATGATCGACAACA